AGGAAAGGAGATTGTGATCCGTTCTGAGACTCCTTCTGGTAGCAAAGGGCGGGGTATACACCCAATCTCCTTCTCTTTTTCTTCTTCCCATAATGCAAAGCTCTCTTGCCCCTGTGCTTTTTTCCCTGCTATGAAGGCCCTTCCGGGAGCTTCGGGCTTTCAGTAGCCCCGAGACTGCCAAGCAAAAGTTTGTTTTTTCTCCTGTGGCTGGTGGGAAGGGACATTGGTGCTGACATGTTTTATGTGTTTTCTTTTTTCAGTTCCAGCCCCAGCTGGTCCTGGTGGCTGCTGGTTTCGACTCGGTCATCGGTGACCCCAAGGTACAAAAAGCCTCTCTCCTGCTTGCAGGGACAGCACCCGTCAGCAATAGCTTCCCCTTTCCCTGACGTACAACCTTTCCTTGGTCAGAAGAGCGGGGAAATTACCTTTCTTTGTTCCTTTAGGGGGAGATGGCTGCTTCCCCAGCATGCTTTGCACACCTGACGCATCTGTTGATGTCGCTGGCCGGGGGCAAGCTGGTTCTCTCTCTGGAGGTGAGCGATGTGTGGTTTCCGTCTCTCTGCTGCTGATACTATCCTTCCCCCCTCCCCCGCCCTGCACAGCTCGTTTGAAGATGCAGCGGGACAGTGTTAACGCAGGGGGTCTCCCCACGTTTTTGAGCCTGTGGGCACCTTTGGAATTCCAACTCAGCATGGTGGGTGCAGCCTCAAAATGGCTGCTGCAGGAGGCGGAGCCAACCACAAAATGGCTGCCACAGCTTACCTTCAGCTTAAAAGAACCTTACCTGTTCTCACAAGGACAGTTCTGGAAAGAACTAGCTCAGCCCCACTTGCCTCGCAGGGGATCTGTTGTGGGGAGGGGAAGGGAAGGAGATTGTAAGCCGCTCCGAGACTCCAAGTGACGGGTGGGGTATAAATCCAATCTCCTTCTCCTCCTACTCTTTTTCTTCTTCTTCTTCTTCTGGATGACCTTGGGCAAGCCGTAGTTCTGTCAGAGGTGTTCTTGAACAGAGCAGTTTCTGTCAGAGCTCTCTCATCCCCGCCTACCTCACAGGGCCTCTGTTGTGGGGAGGGGAAGGGAAGGGAGTTTGTAAGCTGCTCTGAGACTCCGCGTCAGGGGCTGGGTATAAATCCAATCTCTTCTCCTTCAGTCACACAATGAGGATCCTTGTGCTGTGGTGGCAGCTGCTGCCAAAGCAACGCTTTTAAAAATATGCACAGCCAATCGGAAGCCTGACTGGGCCAAAGCCCTCCCCCCTGCCCCCTTTCCAAAAAACATGGTGGGCACCAGTGTTCCCTCTAAGCTGAGTTAGTGTGAGCTAGCTCACAGTTCTTTTAGCCGCCGGCTCACACATTTTTGTCGTAGCTCAGGAAGGGATGGCTCCAGAGCAAACTAATTGATGCAGCAGCCAAATCACCTGCTCACAACTTTAATGCCATTAGCTCAGAAAGTAGAATTTTCGCTCACGAGACTCCACAGCTTAGAGGGAACATTGGTGGGCACCAAAAAAAGGTGTTGGTGGGCACCACGTTGGGGACCCCTGCTGTAATGTTTCTCCTCCTCCTCAGGGCGGGTACAATCTCCAGTCCTTGGCGGAGGGAGCCTGCATGGCCCTGAAGACTCTGCTTGGAGACCCCTGCCCCCTGCTGGAACCTCCCCATGTCCCATGTAGCAGGTGAGCAAAGAGGATGGCGCTGGGTGTCGGGAGGGGGAAAGTTTTTCTCTCCCCTCCCCAATCAAGCCTGTGCTCCAGCCGACTGATGTTTCCTCTTCTCTCTCTCTCTTCTCCACAGCGGCCTCCGTTCAGTGTCCCAGACACTGGCCGCTCACTGCAAGTACTGGAAGAGCCTCCGGAGGACCGGTAGGTCTCCAAGAACAGCTCCCGTTTCTTCTCTGCCTGAGGCAGTAACCAAAACCGGGGTGGTGGTGGTGGGGGTTCTTGTTTATTCTATTCATTTATATGTTTCTTTTCTCCCCAGTGAGAACCCTAAGCAGCTTACATCATTCTCCTCTCCTCAATTTTATCCCCACAACAGCCTTGTGAGGGAGGTTAGGCTGAGAGTGTGTGACCTGCCCAAAGTCACCCCGAGAGCCAGTTTGGTGTAGTGGTTAGGAGCACAGACTCTAACCTGGGAGAACCGGGGTTGATTCCCCACTCTCCACTTGCACCTGCTGGATGACCTTGGGCCAGCCATAGTTCTGTCAGAGCTGTTCTCTCAAGAGCAGTCCTCCAAACAGCTCTCTCAGCCCCGCCTACCTCACACGGTGTCTGTTCTGGGGAGGGGAAGGGAAAGGAATCTATAAGACGCTCTGGGACTCCCGAGTGAAGGGGCCGGGTAGAAATCCAATCTCTTCTTTTTCTTCACCAGTTTGGTGTAGTGGTTAAGTGCACGGACTCTAATCTGGGAGAACCGGGTTTGATTCCCCACTCCTCCACTTGCACCTGCTGATGTGACCTTGGGTCAGTCACAAGCTCTGGGACCGCTGTTCTTGAAAAAGAGCAGTTTGTGTCAGAGCTCTCTCAGCCCCACCCACCTGTTGTGGGGAGGGGAAGGAAAAGAAGACTGTAAACTGCTCTGAGACTCCAAGTGAAGGGCGGGGTATAAATCCAATCTCTTCTTCTCTTCTTCTTTTTCTTCTTCTTCCATGGCACAAGTGGGGATTCGAACCTGGATCTTTTAGGTACTAGTCCAGCCCTCTTAACCGCTACATCACCCTGGCTTTCTGTTCCGTCTTGGCTCCTTACCTCTCTCCCTACCCAACAGGCTGCGTCTCCTTCCAGGAACCCTAAAACCCGTGATCTCCCCTCGTGCTGCAGGTGCCGACTTGCCTCAGGAGGGTGGCGAAGATGCTGGTGCCACTCTGCCTGCATCCACCCCCCCGCCGGTGCCGGAAACCCTGCCCAGACCAGAAGCTGAACCCGTGAGACCCCTGCCCCCTTCCCGCACCGGGCTGGTCTATGACGAGAAGATGACGCAGCACTACAACATGTGGGACAGGTAAGGAGCACCAGGGTGGGGCTGAGCCAGGTGAGTCTGCGGTGGAGGCGGGTGTCCTTTTCAGGGCCGGGAGGAGGAAAGAGCCGCAGATCGCGAAGTCTCTGCTTCAGACACCAACCCAGGCTCTACGATGCTTACAGTCCTTTCAGTGAATCAATCTGTTTATGCCCTGACCTGGAGAGCCCAGGCAAGGCCAATCTCGGACGCTATGTGGGGCCGACCCAGAGGCAGGCTATCAAGCCACTTCTGGGGCCGACCCAGAGGCAGGCTGTCAAGCCACTTCTCTGAATGTCCTTTGTGCCCCAGTAGGAGTCGCCAGGGGTCACCATAACGTCTAGGCACGGGCACACACCAACACGCACACACGCATGCACACATACACAAAATGCCAAAAAAAGCCCTCAAAAAAAATCTGTCTGGCCTGCCTTCCAGGAAGGGCAGGGGCCGTGGCTCAGTGGCAGAGCCTGTGCTTTGCATGCAGAAGGTCCTAGGCTCAACCCCCGGCATCCCCAGTTAAAAGGGCCAGACAGGAGGTGATGACATGAGACCCTGGCTCAGTGGCAGAGCCTCTGCTTGGCATGCAGAAGGACCCAGGTTCAATCCTCGGCATCCCCAGTTAAAAGGACCAGGCAGGAGGTGATGAGAAAGACCTCCGCCTGAGACCTTGGAGAGCCGCTGCCAGTCCAAGTAGACAATCCTGACCCTGATGAACCAATGGTGTGATTCAGTCGAAGGCAGCTTCATGTGTTCAGGGTTCAGTGCCTTCCTCTTTACAAGCTAAGCGGTAGTGATGCTGGATCCCTGGAGGAAGAGCTGCTGCCCTGGCGAACGGTCTGCTGAACACACACCACCCTTTTTCCTTTGTCTGCTAGCTGGAGGCCGTGCATCACAGCCCTTTGGTTTGCATCTGCATCAGAGTCCTGCCTTTCGGTCTTCCTTACTGTGTGTGTGTGTTAGATCCCCAAGCATCGAGAATAAATCCACGTTTCAGGAAAGCAAAATTTATTTCAAAGCTTTGGAAAGATACTCAAACAAATCCTTTGTTAGGAATGGGTACAAACAGCCAGGGCAAGCATAATAAAGGGATTTGAACAAGGTACCGAACCAATGGATCACTTTCCCGCTGGCGGGTAAAAGGAAACGGTTGCGCGCTCAATCCCTGGGAACACTGCTATCTCCAGACATAATATAGGTGCAGTTCCCAGGCTCTAAAGGCAACAAGCTAGCATTCAAGCTCACCTCCTACACCACGTCCTCCAGATGTTTGACTTAAGCATTACAGCAGAATAAAATACAGGCTAGCAGGCAGAGGGGGGGAGGAATAAACTGTACAGCCGTACAAGTAACACAGAACACAATGGCAGCTTGCTGACATACTGCCCCCTCCAAAATACATCTTACCCTCCGTCTCCCGGGCAGGGCGGGAGATCTCCCGGTTTGGGCGGGAGGCCTCCCGGTTTGTCCGGGAACTTCTTGTGGAACTTACGAATCAGATAAGGGGCCCGAATATCCCCTTCTTCCACCCATTCACGGTGCTGGGGTCCGAAATCCACCCACTCAATGAGGTACCAGAGTTTACCACGTTTCAGTTTGGAGTCGAGGATGTCTGCAACCTCAAAATGTTCATCCCCCTCAAGTAGTACAGGCGGAGGGGGAGTCACTGATGGCCTCCAGGGAGAGGTACCAGGATCCTTTTTCAACAAACTCATGTGAAAAACAGAATGTAAAGCCCTTAGATTCTTTGGCAGTTCAACATCAACAGCAACGTCATTGATGATTTTACGCACTTTGAAAGGCCCAATAAA